GGGGGATAGGACGCAAGGAGAATTTTTAATCAAAATTTTTGGGGAAAAAAGGGGGCTTATACACCGAAAAATACGGTATATATTAATACCATCAGAAGAGGCATTCCTTTTTTTTAATAACAAATTAATAGTTAAAAAAAGTAAGAAATTCAAACACTATAGATCACAATCATTACACACAGCTTGGAAGTTGAGATACAAAAAAAGCTAACTTTCTAATCCTAAAGCTAAGCATACATGCTACTAGTAATATCACATCTAAATTAAGCACATCAAATTTTAAAAGTAAAGAGATCTGGTCTTAAATTGTTATGAAAATGCACATTTTATTACAACTGCAGATTACTTTCACAAGTTCTATTTTACATGGTAGAGAAAGTTGAAACTATCATTCAACGTTGACAATTATATAGGCTAAAGAATGTGATATGGTAGTACTGGACAGTAAGCTTTTTTTTCTCTAAACTATTTGTTGAGATCATTACTAGACTGTTTAAGTCTAGCATTCCTTTTTTAAATTAACAGGTAATGTCCGATTTATGTAGTAAATAGGAAATTATAGTTGACATTTTCATTCAAGGGACCGACTCTATGCATATTTGATTAATTTGAAAAATAAATATATACAAAATGTAAATCTACCTCAACAGCAGCATCAAGACCCAACTTTCCACATTTTAATACTGACAGCAGATCCTCAAAAGTGGTGGTGAATTACCACTAGTTGCTATGATGCCCTGATTATTTCTTGGTCCCAAACTAGTTTGGTTGGATCCATCTACAGCTGGCAGAGCTCTTGTAACTGAGAAGGTGGCTTTGAGCACCAGAATAGTTGATCTTTCTGGTTATACATAGGCCAGGTCTCAGTCCATTTGGCATCCATCTCTTGACAGTGCTGGATTGGTAAGTGGATCTGGTGAGTGGGGTAATCAACTCTTAACTGTTGTTTAGGTAGCTCAATGTACTTCTTCATCAGCAGTGGCTTGGCTGATGATGCGAAGGTGCTGTGCTTCATTTCGTAGTAGTTATGTGTCTTTGTGCTTGACCAGATATTGAGGTGGAGAACCCTTAATTAACGCTGAAGGCCCCTGTTGTAGCAAGGTCTAAATGGCTGGTGTACATTTGGAGATTATGGTAGTACTGTTGGTAGAGGGAACCATCTCTATGATACAAGTTGCTGGTCAAGTATGGACAGATGTCTTCTGCTTGCATTTCCACCCCTTAAGACAACTTTAACTCTGAGAAGGATTTTATTCTGCTTCAGATGTGTTTGTGAGTACAAATCTGGTGTTTTATCTGGTAGTAATCAAACATCCTTCGACAGAAAATCTCAGGAGAGGTTCCATTGTTGAAATGTCCACCTGGACATCTTCTTTGTAGGCTTGGATCAAATGGCCTTGAGGTGGTAGTCTGTGGTAGTATCTCTGAAGCTGCTGTGGTTACTCCTTCTGGCGAGGGCTTGAGCTCTGTGGGTGGTTCCATGTCCGACTTGGGTTGTCCACCTCCAGAGGACTTCAGAACCAGCCCAACAACCAACTCTGCTAGATTCTGTACATCAGATGCATAAGCCAGCAACACATCGTCATCCATAGGCTCTACCATATTAAAAGTTATATTGGCTTCAGTAGCTTTTGGGGTATGGTGACCAGTTTTCCAAACCAAAAAACTGGGATAGTCCAGCCCTTAATTTCAAAATGGTTATTACAAATACGAAATAATTTATCTTTAAATTTATTGAACTGTTGCACAATATTTCTAAATATATTAATAATGGCATTGGTTTTGAAATAATTTCAATTACGTTTTTGGTGAAAAACTCAAACAAGAGCAAAAATAGTCAAATTATACATCCAAAAAATCTTTAGTTATTCACTTTATCCAATATATCTTAAAATAGCCTACTTCATATCCAAATTTATTTAAGAATCTTTAACATTTTCAAACATAATACTTTTAGGTTTTAGCATTGCATTGAAACTTTTTCAGACATATTTTTGTGAAGAATGAATGTAACGTAGAAGTTCTGTTTTTGCATTAAATAATCATAAAATTCAGTACATGACTGTGTAAAGTGTATTTTGATGACGAGCACTGCCTTAATTGTCTTCACATTCAAACCTGCACAGACCCGGGTTCCACACACATACAGACAGAAAGAACGTTCGAGAGAGTTTGGCGGTAGGTGAATATGTGTTCAAACAACGAGAAAGTCAAGTAGACCTATTACATTCATGTATTGAGGAAACTGAGAGTTTGTCTTTATCATAAAACCAGGATGTTTTCTCGGAACACTAGGACAAACTACCAAACAAAATGGGACTGTCTTGGTTTTGCCGGGAAGTCAGATCACACTATTTTCAAATAATACCTCACAGGTCAGTGATTACAGTTAACCTAATGTCATAAGGTCAAATCGTTTGTTGCCATTCTTATGATGCTTAATAGCTGTGCTGTTTGTGTTATTCAACATTTATAAATGACTATGTAATATTCATACATGTGTGTGTGAGATATCACACACACACACACACACATATATATATCACCATTAGATATGGTCAAATAGACTACCTCTGGCTCTTATACAAGTTACTTCATTAACTTTTTCAGGTTACTTTCTAAAGATACATCTCAGTAGCTGTGGTCTTGCAATGTGCTGCTTTCTATTAGTTGTGAAACTAAACATTTTCCTTTTGATAACAAAATACACAATCTCTTAATCACCTACACTTGTGCAAACTGTTGATGTACCAGCATTAGATGTACTGGCACTAGTCCTCCTGAATTTCGTTAATCA